GAGGTATGGAGAGTAGAATCTGTATAGTTTAGCAGCAAACATCACCACTAGAGGACAACCTTTGCTTATAAAATGAACTGGGAAGCTTGACAGTCTGGGTGTAACAGCAGGAGCTAGTAAGCCACTGAAAGAGGAAGCAAGATAAAACTTCACCTGGTTATCTCCAGCAAGTGTGTTTAACTAGCATTAAGAGAGGGGTGTCTCCTTCTTTTGTGCTCTGAATCTGCTGAACATAAAAATGCATGATAAACTTTGGTTCCATGACATCAACAGACTAGAAAACTAGAGGCACAGGGCCAATTAGGGAATAATTAACCATTTGGCGCTGCTTTACTTGTTGGCTTTCTTTGTTCCAGAAACTAGGATTCCAGAAATTCCTGAATTAAGGAACTAAGACTAAAAGTTTAGTAAAAATTGGATATATTTATTAAGGCTATCTTCAGTTTCAACCTTAGAGGCTTTGCTACAGTCCATGGAGGTCAAAAAACATACTTTCACTTCCTTTTTCTTTAAGATATAAGGAATGTGCTGCCATGGAGAGGATATTAAGTGCTCCATTCCACTGACATGTCCCACTGAAGAGATAGCTGGTGACTTATGGCCATGGCCAAGGAGGAATCCCATAAAGATGGTACTGCTCGGCAGATACATCATATTATCAGCTATATCTTATGCAATACTGTGTTTTGGACTGCACTGGTTAATTAGGTAAATGAGAAGATATACATACAGATATACATGAGAGCCAATTTGGTGTAGAGGTTAAGGCACCAGACTAGAAACTGGGAGACCGTGAGTTCTAGTCCTGCCTTAGGCACAAAGCCAGCTGGGTGACCATGGGCCAGTCACTCTCTCTCAGCCCTAGGAAGGAGGCAATAGCAAACCACTTCTGGAACCTTGCCAAGAACACTGCAGGGACTAGTCCAGGCAGTCACCAGAAGTCAAAAAAACTGTCGAAAAAAACCTCCTAGAAATATACATACATACCCAATCCACTATTACCTTTTAGGGTAAGCAACATTTTGAATAACTCAGAAAGGGAGTAGGAAATAGTAAGCCAAGGAAATTAAAGAGATAAATCTACTTTAAAGTAACACCATTCATTACACCTCTTCATATCTTTCTATCCTTCCAAACCTCTGTTCACACTCTTATTGCCTTTTACTCTTTAAACTTTCCATCTCTTTGAGGATTTCATTAACTCTACCTAACCACAACACTTTTGTCTTCCTCTTGAACTATGCACTCTTCCTTTATGCATTTATTTTGTAATTCAATCCTCATTCATCTTCTCTATATGATCAAACTACTTTGATGTATAGTACTTTATATCCAATCCAAATTGATCCAGTACCTATTCTGACTTGACTCTATCTTTTCCATTTTACTATTAATTAGTATTCCACTTCTATTTCATACAACCTATTTTTGTGTGCCTCCTGATATACCCAACTTTCACTGCCATATAACAAAATGGGCAGAAACATTCTCTAATACACAGCCATTTTCAATTCAACAACTGCACCATGGACAGCATTTGCACATCATAACATTTCTCCAGGGTATTTGAGGGACCACCTCATCCCAATCATATCTGTCCCATCAGATCCAGCAGAAAGAGCATGTTGTGAGTCCTGATTATGAAGGATGTCATCTGATGGGACCCAGGAGGAGACCCTTTACTGCCACAGTGCCCACCCCTTTGGAACATCATGACATCTCACCCTGAGGTGAGAATGGCCCTGACCTTATTGGCCTTCCAGAAGAGCCTGAAGACATGACTTTGCCATCTGGCCTGTGGATCCAGTGAGGTTGGTGGAGAGCCTGTTAAGTGGTTGTAGTTTTAGGAAAATGAACGGTGCTCTCCCGCTGATTATGGTTTTAATAGTGTTATTGTTTTGAATGCTTTTGTTTTTGCAGGTTTTTGTTGTTGTTGTTGACTTTGTATTGTTCTCTGGATTCTTAACTTTGTAAGCTGACCAGAGTCATGGTAGCAAGGTGGGTGGTTATACAAATTTAATAAATAAATACATCTATTTCCCCATCTTTAGTAAATATTCTTCCTTGGTATACAAATTCATCTACTTCTCTAATTTATCACCACTTACATATAACTTGCAATTATTCATTTTCTTTCCCTATCAAACACAACTAAATCTTCAATATATTAATTTTCAGATTCATACTCCTTGTGGCACTATACAATTTATCTAACATTCACTGCACATCATTTGAGTTCTATGCTAACATGGCACTGTTTACATACAAAAGTATATGCACATTTATGTCCCTGAATTGCATTAAACAAGGGGATATCACACATCCATATCTTATTTCCTGTTCTCTTGCTTTATTCACTAAGCACGCCAAACTGCACTGCACTTCTCAAATTTTGCTGATATTTACCTCTTGTACCTTTTCACCAGAATTTTGCCAAATACCTTCCAAGCACGCTTAATAAATGAATCCCCTTTCATCCTGTTGTAGGGGAACAGTATCTTCCAATTGTTGGCTACAGATGCACTCTTCACAAACTTATTAGGTATACTGCATAGCCACTTCATAAGCAAATCCCATCTTAACATTTCTCCAGTTATATTTATGCCCATAGCTTTACCATTTTTCAACTTTCTCACAGCATTTATAACTTTTCATAATTTTTTTTCCTTGGGCATTATCATTTATAGCTTTTGTTTCACTTCCACTCTTCAGGATATCAGTATCATTCCCATACATTTTCTAAAATACTCCGAGTTTTCCTCATGTTGGTTTTCTCCCAAATCATTTCACTTTTTTTTTAATTTTGCCACTCAGCTGGAGGATCCTTGTTCAACCCATTTCTCCCACATTTTTAAAAATTTCCATCCAACTCATTCTGCATTTTCTCTCCATCTTTTAATCTTTTAACCATTCCTTGCTCTTTGACTTCATTCTTTGCAACTCTTTTCCTCCATGTAACAGATTACACAGTTCTCTCATCCTTATTTGCAGCAATATTTTCTCATACACATTTTTTTCTCACCCAGTCTTTCGCTTCATCATTCTTTTCATACTTCCCATTACACACTTCTTTGACACTCCATAACATGATTATTTTCAGTCTGTTCCAAGCAGCTTACATATCCTCCTTCCTCACATCCACTTTCCACTCATTTTCTTAGATTAATCTATCTTCTAATAAGGACCCAAATGTTCTCCTCTCATTCTATTTTCACTCCACTTTCTTTCACTCCTTACCATGTCCATTTTTCTCCAAAATCTACTTTCAAAACCAACAAAAACAGTTTCTCCTTTGTCTCTCACCAATCTTGTATTATTCCTTAATTCTCTCAGTCTTTCATCATAAACAATCAATCATGCTTTTAGGCTTATATTAATTCTTTTGTTCTGTAAATGTATCAATAGACATTATTAAACTTTGCATTCAACTCAAATGGATATTTTTCTAAAGAGATGCTCATTAATCATCATCTTTGGATCTCCGAAAGGCCCAAAATATAGTCCATTGTGAATGAAAAAATAAAATGTGTATCAGAAAGAATTTGTACTATCTAGGTTATTGAGTACATGTCTGAAAGTAGGGATTCACCAGTAATGTTTGTACGTTACACTCCAGTGAACTGTGATAAAGAAAAAAACCACAGATGAGATTTGGAAAATATTATAGAACATTATGAGTGAATGTGATACAGGGGAAGAATTAATCTATTAGATGGCATGAATGGATGGGTGGGAATGAGGCAGGAGAAGTCCAAGGGCTACAACTACACTTCCCTGCATGTATTCATCGACTCCCCTCTAAAAGATCAGGTTACCTTCCTTCAGGTCAATTGCATTCTCCCCCATTCTCTTGGTTTCAAAGACATACAACTTATCAGTTTCTTTCCCTTTCTTTAATTTCATTCATTAATTCATGCTCTTTACCATTTACTCCTCTTATATTCCAAGTAGCAATCTTTTATATGCCGTGGTCATCACGGACAGGCCCAAAGACATTGATCTCTGTTGCCTTGGTGAAATGAGATATTCCCATAATGCTTTTGAGTCATATGGTAAAACCTTAATGGACCTGCATTTGTCAGATATCAAATGCAATGTACATAATTTTCATATGATCTTCCTCCCAAAATAAGGCCATTGTATCCAAAGTAATCCAGACAATTCATTTAAATTTGCATTATTTCCTCAATTTATATTATTTGCATACTGATATAAGAACATATATGGAACAGTTTACATAATTTGTGTATGCACATCATTACACAAATTTTTTAAAAAGGCAAATTGATGTGAATGACATTTAATGGATATTCAGGAGTTCCTCCCTCCCCAGAAAGATCCATTAAATCAAAGTTTTGTTGAGTATACAAGGCCTAGACTAGGTTATTTATGTATTCATTCATTTAATTTTTATCATGCCTTTCATTCAGTAGCTCAAGGCAGCATACATAGCACTCCCTCCTCCTATTTCTCCCCACAACAACCCTGTGAAGTAGGTAGGATTGAGAGCTTCTTGTTCTGGAATAAGTCTCCTTGACTAAGGCTGCCCCAGTGCCAGTCCAACCCCTTAATCTCTACACTCCAGTGGCTCAGTGTGGTTACCAGTCCTGGTGAGATCCACGTCCCATGCAGCATTGCTTGTTAACAGGAAGGACAGTACTGGATAGATTTGACATATGCTGGCTTCTTGTATGCCACTAAAGCAACCCGAGACTCATGTTATTCTGTATGAGCTAGACAACTTGCAAGCAAACTTACTGTTACCTGCATCCCACAAATTCAGAGGCACATTCCCACAATTCATGCTTCACATTCTACCTTTAAAAAAATGTACAGCATGACAATAAACGTAATAACATCTAGCCAATTCTCAATTACATACGTACTCTTAAGCAGAGCATGTGATTCCTCAAAAGAAAAAAGGAACTTTAATTTGGAGGGGTAGGAGAGTATGGCAGGAGAAAAAAAAACCCAGAATGAAACTGTAATCACTATGTTGAATGTTTTCCTTATATATTTTGGAAGTATTTTTAATCTGCTGAAACCAACTGAAACATTATTCTTATCAGTAAAAATGGAGCAAGAATCAAATAAGCTGTTATCAGGAACATGGCCAGATTGCAACTTGTATAAGATGCTTGGATGTCTATTTCAGCATATGGTTGTGCTAATGCATTTGGGGAGGTAGAAAAAGACAAACTGAAACTTTGATGAAACACCAGCCTAGTTGGACATCCAGGCATTGTTTGCAACCAGGAAATTCACAACACAAGATATGTCAGCTGTAAGGATTTCTTCAAATCTTGGAGCTTGCACAGTATAGGTCAAACAGCCCACATAACCTGCTGTAGTATGGAATAATATCTATGTCATTAATCTACCCACAAGCAGGTTTTCCAAACCGAACAATATCGGCCCAGTTGGGACAAGAAAAGCAAAGGGACCAACAGGACTGAGATGTCAGAAGACATAGGCCGGAAGGAGGTTTATATATGTTTACCTGGAAATTTTCAACTCTTTACCTTAGGATATGTGCACAAGATTTCAGTGCCCCCCACCCCCCAAAAAACCCATTAAGAATTATATGCTTTAGACTCAAAAGTAGCTAAATTCATCTTGTTATAAGTCACTGTATAAAAAGCTCAGAGCTTTTTGGGAACTGTGCAGCATAGAAATTGCGAAAATAATAAATTTTGCATTCATAAAAAGCAGAAGAAACGGAATACACGAAGCTGGGGGCTTAAAAGGTTTCACTGCTGTGACAAATACAACGGCTATACTGTGAACCAGTGGTTCCAAGTTCAATTTTAAAAAATACACATATAAATGCATTTTATACTAATGTTTGTCATTCTGCTATATCTTGTATGATAAGCAGCAATCTCCATAAACCAAAAGCAGGATTTTGCTACAGGGAGCATTAGCACATCTAAAATACCATAGTCCCCAACACATCCATTACTTACTTGAAAGTGAGTTACTACAGTGTAGCTCATCTAGTCTTCACAGTCTGCTTACTCTAGATTGGTGTTTCTCAACCTTAGCAACTTTAAGATACGTGGACTTCAACTCCCAGAATTCCCACCAGCATGGCTGACTAGGGAACTCTGGGAGTTGAAGTCCTCACCTCTTAAACTTGCTAAGGTTGAGAAACACTGCTCTAGATAAATGACAGATACAGAATCTACAATTATCAAAAACCGTCTCCCTTGCACATGGACTAAAGGATTTCTATTTATTTTAATCACTGCTGGGAACAAGACATTCTCCCTATGTCCCAGACCTGTAACAAAGTTAAACCAACAAGCCAAGCTGCTTCATTTTCTCTAGCAATTACAGAGTTCAGAGACATAACTGCATACATATCTTGACCTTGAGGAACATATGTAGTCTATGGATCCAATATTAATACTTTCTTCATTGGGTGCTCTTCTGGGAGGGCTTTGTAATGATACCGGGATTATATGGCCACCTGAAGGGGCACCACTAATGTGAACAGCAGCTAGGCAACTTGTGCCCTCTTGTCAACTAAACCTGAGTGTCACATGGGCAACAAGACATCCATATGACTGAAAAATGACCAGTGCTATGTGGTTTCATTCGCGTCCCTGAACACCAAGGGCAGAACCTACATAAGCCACTCAACTTGAGCATCATATGAGCCATATAGCAGCTGTAGCCAATCCAGGAGATTCACAGTTAAACTGGAAGTCAGTGTAGAAAGGCAGTCCAACGCAGTCCGCTAGTGGGTTCTTCAGCGTTTCAAGTCAGATACTGCAGCACGAGGAACATGATTATGCATGTCACAAGCATGCCTCCAATCATGAAGTACTTATCCTGGAAAGCACGTTTCTCAATGAGACGCATGACTGTATTAGATAAGCCCAGCATGTTGGCAACATCCATTATTTTTTTGTGGGTGCCCTGAAAGTGACAGAAAGAAGTGACAATATTAGTAAAAAAGCTGTTAAAGAGGGCCTTTTGACTCCCAAGGTATTCCTCTTCAGATGTTCAGTCTCTCCAAAAGCAGGATTTATGGTTCACACTAGCATGTGAACTACTTTATCTTACATATCCATCTTTTCCTTACCCATTCCCCACCTCTCAATTTCCAACCAACAATCTTTTGTTCTTCAGAAGTTCTTTAGAATTCTTATGCCATCCGTAAGTGTGTGTAGTTGCCTAAAATTTAAAAAACATTTGGGAGGGGGTGAGGGTGGGGAGAGGAAGGAAATTTTGGTGATAATTTCTATTTTTATTTAATGTTTCCTTTTTGGTTTTAAAATTGCACCATACCACTGCTCAGCCTAATAGGAGAATGTTTCAAAATGTATATAGTTGAAATGGCGTTATCAGTTATCTTACCAACCACATCAGGTCAAGTGGCAATACACTTGTGAGTCACGATTCACTCACTGTAGAGCAGCTAATTTTGCCAGAAAGCATAGGCTGACCCATGACTGTTCTACATAATTTCCCTATATATAGTTTGGAATCACAAACTAAGAAACTATTTTTAATTATAGCTTTGGGCTCCAAATTTTGTACATTTTTCCATGTAAGTCTGCCCAGCCATAAAACAATATAGATGGCCCTTGTTATTTGCAGGGGTTCTGTTCCAGGAAACCACAGCTAACAAAACCACAAATAATGAGACCTTGAAATGGGTGGGTGGGTGAGCCCAACTTAAGCTTATGGTCATCCTCTTTCTCTCACAAGCACTTAACTCTTTCTCCTACAGAGGTCATCTCAGCAATGTACAGTGGAACCTCGGGTTACAAACTTAATTCGTTCCGTGACTCTGGTCGCACCCCGAATT